ATATTTCTGGTTTTTTCATCTTTGTTTCTTCTCCAAACTTCTTTGTTTATAACATTCTCAAACAATATTTCTGTATGGAGAGTGAAACAACAATGATGACTATCAAACTTATAAATCAAGACCCAATACGATTTGATCGGTGTGATGGGACTAACTTCACGCGATGGCAAGACAATTAAAGTTTCTCCTAACGGCATTGAAAATCTTCTATATACTTGATCCAGATTTAGCGCCATTACTTGAATCGATGAATGAAGAGACAGAATCAATCAAAGTCGAAACACAGAAACCCAAGAAGATGAATTGATTTGCCACAGTCACATACTCAGTGTGCTGTCGTATCACCTGTATGATTTATATACCAACACAACATTAGCGAAGGAAATTTGGGATGCTTTAAAAAGTAAGTACAAAGTGAAAGAGGAAGGTACCAAGAAATTTTTGATTTCAAAATATTTTGATTTTAAATTCTTAGACAATATTCCCTTACTTCCAAGTACACGAATTGCAAGTCATTGTCAACAAACTAAAGGCAGTAAAAATCGAAATATCGAAGACTTTTCAAGGGGGGTTATAATTGCCAAACTTCCCGAAAGTTGGAAAGGATACCGGAAGAAGATCATGCATAATTCCGAATATTATTCCTTGGAACAATTGCAAAAGTATCTTTGAATTGAGGAAGAGTCTAGAAGGTAGGATAAGAGTGAAAACTCTTATGAAGAGACTTCCTAAGCAAATGTAGTGGAGAAAACTAAACTGCCTACAAAATTCAACAAGAAAAAGCCTTCAAGGAACTTCAATAAGTCCAACAAGAAGACCAAAGGTGGATGTTTCGTGTGTGAAAAATCTGATCACTATGCAAAGGAGTGTAGACACCGTAAACAAAACAACTCAATGGTAAAGTGGATTCCATTTAAGAAGATAAAATTGTGGCCACTGTAACCAAAATAAATTCAATCAAGGGAAAGGTTCTCGGGTGGTGGTATAATACTTGTGTTACTGTACATGTATCATATGATAAATCTTTGTTCAAAACATATCATGAGGTGGATGGAGACCAAGAGATTCAAATGGATAACGAGGTTCGGTCGAAGGTGATTGGAAAGGAAATGTTGATATCATCTCCACTTCTGAAAAACCGTTACTTTGACAAATGTGCTACACGTTCTTGATATGAATAGGGAAACTTAGTGAGTGGTAATCTCTTAAGAAAACCGGGCATCAAATGCATGTATGAATTCGGTAAACTTATACTGTCCCTTAACGAAAAATTAAATGGAAAGGGCTATTCTTGTGAAGGAATAATCGAATTATGTACCGTTGACAAATAAATTAATAGAATTCATTTTGCTTATTCTGTTGATTTATTTTCATTATGGCATGCTAGATTAGGTCATATTGGTAGAAGTACTATGAAATGTATGAAAAATGTGACTTAATTTCATATAATAAAAATAAATTCAAAACATGTGTGGAATCTAAAATGATTAAAAAACCTTATCAAAGTGTGAAAAATGACCTCTGGTATCTTAAAACTTATTCATACTGATATATGTAAAATGAACGACATGTTAACTAGAGGTGGAAATAGATACTTCATTACCTTTATTGATGACTTTTTAAGATATGTATATTTATTAAAGCATAAAAGTGAGGTTTTTGATATGTTTAAGGTGTGCAAAAATGAAGTTGAAAATTATCTAAGAAAGAAAATTTAAAACTTAAGGAATGACAGAGGTGGTGAATATTTTTTCAACGATTTTAACTTAATTTGTGAACAACATAACATAATTTACCAATGTTCTGCACCTAGAATACCCAAACAGAATGGTCTGGCTGAAAGGAAAAATATGACCATAGTTGAAATGATTAATGTCATGCTTATCTATGCTAAGTTGCCATTTAACTTGTAGGGTGAAACTTTATTAAGTGCATGTAGAATACTTACAAAATTTGACGACCAAAATGCAATATTTCAAAAGTTGAGTCGGATTGTAAAACGATGATTTGAGAATGCCAAAAGTCAATTGAAATTGAAGAGAAATCAAGGGAATAGAAACTTTAGAAAATGATCAAAACACATATGTGAGAAAGTTCAAAACACATATGTGAGAAAGTTCAGAGATTAATTTGTAAAATTGGTCCCCAAAAATTGAACCATTCATACGCATGGACATGCATGCCTGGTGTACGCAAGGTTAAAAAAATACACTCCAGCGACCAAATCAGCTGAACTATGCGTACGCACGAATGAAACATGCATATACATGGTTAAACTCCCAAAAAAAAAAAAATTATTTCCTTATTTTGTTTTGAAAACTCTTGGTATGTAATTTTTTGGCACCCTATTTATACCAAGAGCCGGCCAAAACTTGAGGAATCTAATTTTTATCTTTGAGAGCCGACTTTTGAGGGAAAGCGAAGGGAATATACATTGAAGAACGAAGAATTCGTCGCTTGGATCCAGATTTGAAGGCATTAATTGAAGATTTTCATATTTTCTTCATAGTTTAATATTCAGGTGATGACTTTCTTTTATTTTTCTTATATTTCTTACATTAATATGCTACGCTAAAATCCTTTGCATTGTATGGATGATAAAACGATTTAAATCTTAGTTTTTAATTCAATACTTTGTTTTTTTTATCTTAATTCTTGCATTGTGATTCCATTAATATGCATAATAACATTGTTTTAATGTTTGAGCACCATTAGGAATAAGTTACTTATTCGTAATGTTGAAAAACTCACAGTATGTAAAATATTGTTATTAGACCACACGGATAATAAATATTAAGAATAATGTTTGTGGTGTGTGCGATCTGTGTGATAATCTTAAATGTCAATACATATTTGCCATATGAATTTGGACTAGGAGTAAGATCATCTAATGGTAACCATATTTTATTATATCTGGGAAAAGAATAATTAAAAAAAGTGGAATTATTAACCGTCACAATTGTATGAATTGAGATAATTATCACAAGTTGAGAATTAGAACTAAGAATTAATCGATGGAGTCGGAATTCCAATACGTTCTCTCATTTGATTTTTTAAACCAAATTTTTATTGATTTTACAAGTTTTAGTTACAAAATTTAATTAGATATCCAACAATCGTCTTTTGATTACAAGCCCGAATTTAAATAATCAAATATACTATAATTGAGCATTATTTCTTGTGAGACGATAACTCTCTAATCACGATTATTACTTGTACAACGAATCTGTACTCTTGTGAAATTTTGACGAACAATTAACACTGTGAAATAAAGGTAAATTGGCATGCGGCATAGTGATTATATGAATAATCCATGCCTCTGCTGTCAATTAAAGATATTTTTCATCAACTTGAGAGATGAAAAATGATAGAGTTGGGATTTTATAATGATTTAAAGTTCAATTACTCGATTGGAAACTAGTGATCAATTGAGAAAATGAAAGTTTAGTTTTCAAATTGAAATTTCGTCAAAAGTTAGGTGCCAGCATATAACATTAAGCACTCCGAAACATTCAGGTTGAGCTTGAGTAATGTTTTATAATTTGAATACCACTTAGTTTTTCTATGCGAGATTTTTTTAGCCTCGTATTTGGGTTATTTGGTGGGTGTTGTTTTTGTTTTCGAAGTGGTATGGACGCTTCGGAACCACATTATTTTTAGGGTAGTATGCAATCATTTGCTTTAGGATTATCCATTCTTTGACAGTGAATCAGGGAAGCAATTTCTGCCATTGTTATACTTGGAGAAAAAACTTTGGTTGAAGAATAACTCAACTTATATTGTTACCATTTTGCATTATAGATCCTAAAACATCTTGGCGCTCAACAGCTAACTCTTTGGCTCTCTTACTTGAGGAAAACTTCGGTTGGACGATCGTACCGTCCTACGTGGTGTAACCGTCGAATAGGGAGCTACCACCTTATCGGGTGGCCAACCCTCACCTAATGGTGGTGGGACTGCGCCACCGAAGTTTTTCTCCTCCTACTTGGTTGTGGACATGTCATGGATCTGTTGATTTGAATTTGACTCTATTGTACTTTTTCTATTATAATTATTAAAAGAGGGAATTTCACAAAATGTCTATTTTTACCTAATCATTTGCAAAAATGTCCACCATTGCAAAAATGTCTAATTTGGAAGAATTTAGAGCAAAATACTCTTATTAACAATTTATAATTCCACACTAAGACAAAAAAATGGGCATTTTTGCAATATTGTTATTAGTCAATAAAATTTTGACACATAACCTATTATATTTATTTCAAGAAATATATATGTCAAATCACAATAAATGCCATGTTTTTCATTAATTTAGAAATGTCGAGAACGACATTTTTAAATGTAGAGAAATGTTATATTCAAAATGAAATGTCATTCTAGACAAATAAAACAGTGTTCAAATGTCGAGAATGACATATGAAATATCAAGAAACATTATTTTAATGTAACTTCTCATGGAAGCCACTTCTCAAAATTCGTGACAAATTCATAAAAAAATCAAATGTCGAAAATACCATTTTAAAATGTAGCTTTTCATTAAGGGCATAATAGACAAGTTGACACTAAATTCAAATGAGTAGACACTTTTTAACTTATACCCTTAAAATTGGACATTCTTAGAAATGCCCATTATTAAAATGTTCGAATGTGCTTAAGATGTGTATGTCTAGTTGGACGTCCCGGTATATCTACTAATTCGTATCTTTAATAATCTTATGAGAAAAAGTCCAACCAACAAAAATACAACAACAGTCAGTAAATAAATATATAAATAAAAGTAATCGATAATATTTATTTATAATAAATATTTTTTTAACTTATGCTCAATCTTTGTTATGCTCCTTTAAATTATACTTTGATAATATAATTCATTAAAGAAGGAAGAATCAGAATTTAGCATTCTTATCTTTTTACTTGTATAAATTTCAGACGTAGATAAATTACTGTATATAGTTGATAACAAGATAAAAGATGAATTCTGTGAATTGAAAAATGGCATAACACAAATTTAGTTTTATCTCTGTTTCAAATAATCAAACAACCGCGAAAGATTGATTCAGCAATGTTAAAACTAATTCTAAAGGGAAGCACAAAATTCTAATATAATAAAAAAAAAGAATTCCAACTCTATCTAATGGAATAAACCCATGTTTTCTTCTTGTCTGTTGAAAGATTGCATCCTTAGTAACGGGAGTTTCATCATTAGTCGAGTTGGCCTCTCAGCTGAGATCTTCCGAATCACAAGTACAGTAACTAGAGCAGATTTAATTCAGTCTCGGATTTCTTCAAGAACGAGCTTCAAACCAGTATCAGTTATCTTTATTCACTTCAAAGGGTCAAGTCGAGTTAGTTCATCGCACAATAGTTTGTTATTTTCAACCATCTTCACGAGTCTTTGAACCAAAATCGTTAATTGAAAACCCGATCCAAAATAGACTCAACAAACTCGCCTTTTCTCCAATCTACACCAAAAGGATCAGTGGGATAATCATCAGGTGAACTCGTGTTAATTCCCTCACCAAAGTAATCACAAGGCATCTCAGATTGAGACCGGTCCTCGGGCAAACATCCCGAACCAAAGGGATCATCGGTAAAAAAACCTTCATAAACCTTAGCAGATGCAGTATCCTCATAAGAGAGCTCAGATTGAGAATCATCCGCAGGTAAATTTAAGTCGATTGTCATCGCTGGGCGTCTCTCCTTGAAATGTCCAATATAGCCTTCTTTATTCACTATCATTGTTTCTCCCTTCAACACGACAGAAACCTACAAGAAACCACCAATTATTGATCATGAGATTAACTAACAATACAGAAAAATTTAAAGAATTTCTTCCTTCACTCGTAAAAGAATAACAGAAAATTTTCAAAACTTGCTTGAACTCAGCATCAACATATGTGTATACATGCCTAGAAAGAAAAGACTAAGCAGCAAAAATGACAGTCGAAGAAATCTCAAGAAAGAATGCCGTATTATATAGAAACCCAGCTTAGAGTTCTCTTGATACTAATAGTAATAACAGACGAGGCGAAGACCATGCACATAGAGGCAATGTAAAACAAAATTCAAACCAGACTAATAGGATTACTACGACTATTTACAACAGTAAACAAAAGTTGATCCGTTATGTGTTACAGTTGAATTGTATACAAAATTGTTGAGGGATAAATTTCACGTCGAACAAAGATGAGAATATAAACCAACATATAAGGGTTTGGACTACTCGACCATTTAAGATGGAACCCAGTCTTAACAAAAAGATGGTACCCAAACCACAAACAAATATATATTATATGTAGCTCTATATGTAGCTTTGATAACAAGGAGATCTTTGGAATGACAAACCGTGAAAGAAGATTAGCATTAAAAGACAGAAAATAAGCTGGCAGAGCATAATATATAATGAGATAATTCCATCTAAAAGTATACTGACCTTGGACAACCCCGGATTGCTTAGAAAAATGCGCCTCAGACCAGTGGCAGTTATGTTTATGCACTCCACAAGGCTCAGGCTCTGAAGAGTACCTTGAGCCTGGTTAGTTATCCTCAGAAGGTCATCATCCGTGATCTTTTCATTCAATGGATGATCTATGTGAATATTTCGCCATGGAAGGGGATCAATTTTGACAGCGTTACACTGCGATTTGCAAACTCCTTCAGCCGTGTTCCCCATACCAAGATAACCGAAGTCGAAAAATAGACAATCTGGCGGGGTAACATCTTTTTCTGCGAGAATACAATCTTTTTCTAGTCCTTTTCGCTGAACGGCTGCATCACACCGGGGCAAACAATGTTTAGCGAAACTGAATTTTATGTAGTCGTCCATGTATCTACCCAAATTAGAGCCCAATATCGAACCAACTGATGCTACCTTCTTAGCTTCAAGTGTTTCCTCAGTCTCCAAATCATGACCCTCTGATCCAAAATCCTCAATCCAAACCGTAGTAGAATCAAGATCATCCATACCAAAAGGATCTCTGGGCAAGTTAACATCCAAGTTCAAGGGACTACTAGGCAAAATTGTGTTAGCACAATCTTTTCCAGCACGAGTACCGTCTTTTTTTAGCCCTTTCCGTTCATGACCCAAATTACAAGAAGATAAACAATATCTGTCAAAACCGAAAGGAAGGAAATCCTCCAAGTCACCATTCAACGCGTTGCAGCCCTCATATGACCATTCCGCAGAGGCCAACGTGGAACCAACTGATGCAAACTTCTTATTATCATCAACTTTCATAGCTTCAGTTGTTTCCTTAGTCTTAAACCACCCACAAGTCTCTCTATCAAAAGCCTCAATGCAACGTATAATAGCCGCATCAAGAGAACCTATTTTTCTAACCATATCAAAGGAATCCCCAGGGAAATTCGAATCATGAAACAACAAATCACCAATGACTTCATAAACGTTATCAAAATTCAAATCATCACAACGTTTCGAATTTTCCCTTTCTGTGTTTTGGCATCCCTCCAAGAAACCCTCGTTTTCGAACTTGATTCCAGAAGACAAATTCTCTTCTTGATTCAGTGCCATTGTTTCTCCAGTCAGCAGTTTAAAATCCTATATATTCACAAGAAGACAAGAATTCTTGATTATACAACTAAAAGAAGCCCTTAAATTCAAAGAACTTACGAAAAAATTATACAAACCAAGAAAAAAAATACAGAACTTCCTTTAATCCAACATCAACATATGTGCATCTATGATTAAAAAGGGAAAAAATTTTCCAAGAAAAGGGGAAAAAAGATGGGTTTAATGGGAAAATCTTACCTATAGTTGAGCATGATGAAAAAAAAAAATCGCAGGAATCTCCTTTTGCATACGAACACCAACTCAGAGGTATTGCGATACTAGATTAGTAATATATATATAGAGGCAATGTAAGAGGAAGGATATCCAAAGCCGATACGGAGTGGAAATAAGGAAGTATATGAGAAAGAGGTGACTCGCTTCAAAGAGTAGAATCCCACCTGTGATCAACTGCTGGGTGTTCTAATATGGTAAGAAATAGAGAGAGAAACAAGCCTAATAAGTTTAGAGAGAGAGAGAGAGAGAGAGAGAGAGAGAGAGAGAGAGAGAGGTTTTATGGCCCGAGACCTACTGCCTTGGGGCTAAAGTTTTTAATTGTTTAATTTTGAAGGCCAAACACGAAACAAAAATTCTCTTTAGACGAAATAAAGTCTAGTGTGCAGTCAACGAAATAAAATACTGACATCACTAACTGTATGATCCAGAACGGAGGTTTGAATATCTCTATAATATTAATACCGAAAATCGGGATTGTATCGATGCTCGAGAGAGGTTGTTTTGGGGCTAGAATACTGTGTATTACAAAGGGGTCACTCCCCCCGCCATCTTGATACCGTGTATTATCTTTGTCCTTACTATCTCTAATTTTGATTATCTAGTCCGATTAAAACTAAGAAGAACATTTTATTTATCATGTATCTCGAAACTTATATATTAACTCCTACAACCGGAGTCTCTTTATGTAATCTCTTATCTTCCAAAATCTGATGAAGTTTGTGTTACGGATCTATTACTTGTAAATTCTTATCTTCCTTATAACAGACCATGTCATTCAATATCCGTAGCTTTATTTCTCCTCCGAAATCTCAAATCAAAGAGTATGTTTAGGCATCGAAATTTGACCAACATCTCCTAATTGTCTCTGAATTCATCTCTATTGAATTACCATCCCATCTTCCAAAAAATGAGGGCTATACTTCTATTCATTTAAAGCTGTAAGGTCTACACTCTCTCTCTAAAAAAAAATAAAAAATAAAAAATAAAAAAAATCCTCTTGGCAATTTTTAGGGTTGCTCTCCTAGATACACGCTTTTCTGACTACCAAAATGCATGTACTGGCACCAGAGGAACTACACTTAAAGCAGGACAGTCCTTGTTACCATGTGTTTCGAATTTCAACATGTGAATATCAGATCCATTCTTGCTATCTACTTTAAAGGTCCAGGTTTAAAGGGCTGGAGCAGTTTCGTCAACTTTTACATATCGAAAACCCTTCATCATCAGATGGTATACAGGATACAAAATCATTTTCTGGATTTTGCTACTCTTCATGATACAAATGATTCTCTTCTTCTTCAAATGGGAACAAATCAACCCAGTTGTACGTATGTCCCCAAACCAGGTCCCTAGATATGAGTTTATTAAATTAATTTCGCACACATGGATCACCAATTATGAGCAACATCAGCAGGCATAGCAGAATTCAATGTCCATCCAGTCATCCACTCATTATTTTAGACGAAAATCAAATGGTGAAGGTAACATAATATTTTAAAAGGAGCTACCTAACACAGTTTACTTTTACTAATGAAGACATCTCCATTTATGGTTTCAATGTAGAAGGTAGACCTATCAATAACGAATCTAATGATTCGGTTCATGTCTATTGAGATATATACTTCTGCTCAAAATGTTTACTGGGGATCATTCATCTGATGATTGTCACGTTAGAAACAAGAGAAAGCAAAATTTACACAAGGCCTTTGAGAACAAATCTCTAGGATTAGGTTTATCAGAGGAACCTTCTAGAAAATTTGACTACTATGTCAAATTCACTCTGCCACCACGAGTAACGAACCTATTATTCCTACTGGATGAGATGATTTTGATGATGGTTGTAATCAATTGCACAAAAAAATGGGACTGGGATGATAGTCCAACTTCATCTCCACCAACAATTTTGCCCATAGCTATGTTACATCCACCACAGCACGAAGATTTTCTCCCACTTGTCTTTCAACAAAGAACCCAATCCATTTTAGGAAGGTAACAAATCCTACATCTAGAAAGTCAGATGCATCAATAGACAAGATTCCAGCAACTAAGTAGTTTTAATGACAAAGAATGTAACACACCAGAATTCCCTATTAAGAAAAATTGATCAAAGTTAGCAAAAATTTGAAAGGACTCTACAAGAACAAACCCAAATACTATTAACTCCACGTTAAGCTTGCAAACAAAAGATTGAAACCCTTCATGATAAAAATGACTTTTTACAAAATTGTTTACCCCATCGCTAACCAAGAAAGAGAAATAAGTGATAAGTTACACACTTATTCAGTCCATAAAACATGATTAATTGTTGATAAAATTGGTTGAATATGACTTAGTTCTATGCAAATTTGTTTTGTAGGACCATATTGATGGATATGACAGGATTCAAGACAAAAAGATATGAAATGGGCCAAAACGAAAGGGAACGAAAGTTCAGGGACCAAAGTGCAAATAAATAGAATTTGACTCGAATGACGAATCAAAAATGCAAATGAGATAAGCACCAATTTGGTGATAATATGGGACATTAGAATAAGGAAATTGCAAAAAGTGGACCAAGATGGAAAAGAATGAAAGTTCAGGAACTAAAATGTAAATAGTCAAAAGATGAACTAGGTACAAACAAAAATGTGAAAGACTCAAGGACCAATTGATTGAGGATTTGAAGTATTGAGAGAAGAGTGAACGAGAAAAGAAGTCATAACATGCGAGATTGGAAATTGGGGACCAAAACGGCATAGTTGAAAGATACTCCTCACCATGCGATCGCATGGTTAAGTTCTGGGGCACGATTTTCAGTTTCTGTTTGCGTGCAAACTCTTATGGAAACCTAATCAGGACGTGATATAAAAATCGAAAAGCTGGCATCTTTCAATAGGAACGCCTTGGGAGAGAAGAATACATCTTGGAGAAGATTTTACACGACAAATAATGAAGAGAAACGCCAAGATCGACGGGATTACATGCGAATCCTTACATCAGTGATGTCATTTCTTAAAGTTTTTTTGTATTTTGTTAATTTCTTCATGTTAGGCTAAGTCTTTAATTACTAGGAGATCGATGAACCTCGTAATGTGAATTTTTGATTTATTGTTTTATAATATTGATATCAAAACACTTTATTGAATTATTTGAATGTTTTATATACAATTAATTTCTTTCATGATTATGTGCACGTAATTGTGTGAGTGTGGTGACTTTTTTCAAGCATTTGAAAGAAGGGATATAAGTTCGACAATGTATAAATCACCTTAGTGTCTGATAGGGGATAAAGATATACCTCTATTCCTTGTGTGAATCTTTAATTCTCACGAAACCACATTTCTTCTTGTAAATTTGCACCCGTCATAAAGATATAGGCTGGTGGTATATGAAAATAGGTTTAACATTACTCATGTTATAACCCACTCACTCATAGTCAAAATCAAGAAAATTATTTAGTCAAAGTTCAAAATTCAATTGGTCAAAGTCAATATCAAATAGGGATTTAAATGAATTAAATTATTTTATTGGGGTTTAATTTATTATGAAAAATAGTTAAAGGTTTAAAATGGATAAAACTTAATTTTAGGGATCTGCTTATATATTATTGAAAGTAAAGAACTAGATGTTATATTAAATTGAAGAATAAGGACTTCCTATGCAAAAATGGGTTGTGGAGTACATGTGGCAAGTAATTAACCCATTACCATTTTCATATGATATATACATGCAGAGAGATAAGGCTGGAGACGGGCAGAAGCAAGAAAAATCGAGAAAGAGAGAAGGAAGAGGAGAAAAAGAAAGAAAGAAAAAAAAAGGAGAAGAGGAAGAAAAAAATAGGAAAGTTCGCCTACGTTGTTAGAAAATAAGTGGTCTACATTATTAAGCTTGAATTCCTCAATTTTGAAAGGTAAGTAAAAAGTTACTTATTGTCAAGTTATGTTTGATTTTATAGTTGATAGATTATTAGATTAAATTTAATTTTATTGAAGGGGTTAAGTATAATAAACCATGAAATTGAGTAAGATGAAAGAAAAACTAGTTTTAATGATTAAAAAGACTTTAGAAATCGTTTAAACGTGAAATGATTAAATTTGGGTATCGCCTATTTAATTATTGAAATTATTTAAAATAATTAATTAATTATTTAAAAATTATATCGTATTTCAGGCGACGATACTGACATCAGAACAACTTACCAACTGGGTTGATTTTGCGAACATAGTACTGTGAGTGGAAAAATATAAATATTTTTAAAGTATTTATAAAATAAGTCTATTATCAAAGTATGTGCAAATATGTATTCGATTATATGATTATAATGGAAATCTCTTTTATTATGATACATGTGGAAACTCAAAGATTATTTATGGCACATTTGTGACTTGATATGTAAGACATGTGATATTGAGATTTGTTTGGCATGTGAGACATGAAATATTGAGATTGGCCAGAAAAGTACCTGTGATTATGTATTTCTTCTAGTTCACAGAGGGGCCTAACCGTGTTCTAGAATTAATTACCAGAGGTCTTTGAGATCGGTTTTTGTTCACAGAGGAGGGCCAAAGGCCCGCGGCGAAAGTGCTTAGCCCGAGGGGCGGATTACAAATTTTAGTTAGAGAGTACATTTTTGGTGGATCACATGTGATGTGATGAGCTGATGACTATATCGTGATTATGAGATGATATTTACAGTGTTATAAGAATGACTTACTTTTTACTATAATTGTATGAGTCTATCATGTGAATATTAAATGATATGAACTGAATGTTTGGTAAAAATGTTAAAGGAGAAAGTATAATTATTTTTGAACTCTTCCACTCACTGCGCTATAAACTCATATATTTTTTCGTAATTTTCCTACAGGTGGAAATTGATTCTTTTTTGCTGGAAGAGCCTAATGATTTCAGAATGAGAGCCACATGACATATTGAGTGTTGTCACTCATTTTGATGAAGCACGAAGTAAATAATTTGGGTTCATCACATTATGTTTTACATAAGCATTTGATTGTGCTGCATTTTTTGAAATAACTCATAGTCAGCCTTGGCGATAGATTTGACATCTAGTCAGTATCTATCATCGATACACGTCACATTTTGGGTCCATTAGGGTGATTCGGGATGGGTTGTGTCAACTCAAGAGAGATTGTTGGGTAGATTAAGGAGCATTGATTCTTCAAAAATTGAACGTGTTGTCAATTTGTGGAACTAGGGTTAAGAGTGAGCATTTCTTGGGAATTC